TTACCAACACGCATTAAAAGTTTTACTCCCGTGTCCATAGTTATTTCTAGGCTTCTCGAGTGCTAAAAATTCTGATCTTCATTTTCAACCTTTGCGAAAACGAACATGTTTTTGAACATTTTACTGAAATTTTTTAAAGAATAATATTCAGTTGACGTTTTGGTTGTTCATATGCATTTTTAAAAATTAATTTGTCATAATAAAATTAAAATTGTAATAATGTTTTAATTTAGACGCAACAACTTATTATGTTATGTACGACCAAGTGATGGTAATAGTTAATAATAATAAATGTTTTATTGTAACGCGTGGTGATAATAGTTTAAATAACTAGATGGATTTCACGGGGTTTAACGATACTTACAGTGTACGATAATTCAATAAACAAAGAAATATAAACAAAAAATTTAGATAAATTTGGAACGAAAACACTGAAGATGAATTTTTCGAGACAAAACGTCTGAATCTGGTTTGGTCTGAGGCAGTACAGTATTGGGGATCAAAAAGGCTTGCAAAAAATGTAATAATCACCTCAAACAAGGCTGAAATAAAACAAAAACGGATTTCCAAAATTTCGTTTTTTTCAAATATTTCGAAAACTAATCAAGTTAGCCTTGATTTTTTTAGAGGCATAATGTTGGTCCCCTGATTACGCAACTTTGCCCCCATTTAAGTTACTTCATACCTCTTACCGTTTCCGAGATCCCCGTAGTGAGAAGCGAATTTGTAACAGCCTNAGTAGCTTAAATGGGGGCAAAGTTGCGTAATCAGGGGAGCAACATTATGCCTCTAAAAAATCAGGGCTAACATGATTAGTTTTCGAAATATTTGAAAAAAACAAAATTTTGGAAATCCGTTTTTGTTTCATTTCAGCCCTGTTTGAGGTGATATTGAAAAAAGAATGACACTTTCTCACGGCCAATTTTTGCCCTCTATCGAATGACATATTCAATTTTTATGTGTAACGTTTCGTCTTTCCAGGACCATCATCAACTTAATTTTTTTAAATACGACCCTAGAAATTGTATTATATTTTTTGCAAGCCTTTATGACCGCCAATACTATACTGCCTCAGCCCGAACCAGATTCAGACGTTTTGTCTCGAAAAATTAATCTTCAATGTATTCATTCCAAATGTATCTAAATTTTTTTTTTGATTTTTTTGTTTATTAAATTCGTTAGACCCTGGGAAATCCATCTGGTTATTTAAACTATTACCACCACGCATTAAAATAAAAAATTATTAGAGTTTTACTTCCGTGTCTATAGTTATTTCTAGGCTTCTCGAGTGCTAAAAATTCTGATCTTCATTTTCAACCTTTGCCAAAACGAAAATGTTTTTGAACATTTTACTGAAATTTTTTAAAGAATAATATTCAGTTGGCGTTTTAGTTGTTCATATGCATTTGTCATAATAAAATTAAAATTGTAATAATGTTTTAATTTTGACGCAACAACTTATTGAGTTATGTATGACCAAGTGATGGTAATAGTTAATAATAATAAATATTTTATTGTAACGCGTGGTGGTAATAGTTTAAATAACTAGATGGATTTCACAGAGTCTAACGACACTTACAGTGTACGATAATTAAATAAACAAAGAAATCTAAACAAAAAATTTAGATAAATTTGGAACGAAAACACTGAAGATGAATTTTTCGAGACAAAACGTCTGAATCTGGTTCGGTCTAAGATAGCACAGTATTCGGGGTCATAAAGGCTTGCAAAAAATGTAATAATCACCTCAAACAAGGCTGAAATAAAACAAAAACGGATTTCCAAAATTTCATTTTTTTTCAAATATTTCGAAAACTAATCATGTTAGCCTTGATTTTTTTAGAGGCTGTTGGTCCCCTGATTACACAACTTTGCCCCCATTTAAGTTACTTCATACATCTTACCGTTTTCGAGATCACCGTATTGAGAAGCGAATTTGTAACAGCCTGTATAAAACTCTGTTAAAATGTATATTTAAAAAATATATATATGCCTGTGTAATCGATATCCATAAGCAGATACAAATATTCAGATAATATGGTAGATACATTTTTGCCAAAGTTAACACTGGCGAATTATGTTTGAACATAAAATGTGTCTTACTTATACTGCTGATTAGAGATGCCTGTCATCAGAAACAACTGTTCAATTTTCCCTGCAGATAAAATATTTTACACAGACGTAACATAAATATTTTATTGGAAATATCGACATATCCAAAGACACAAAGAAATAAATGAGTTCTCCATAAAATCTGGGCTCGTTGACGATATGTCCTTTGAAAGTAGTTTGTTTATATTACTCGTAGGAACGATTACAACCTGGCTATAAAACTTGTATTGTAATAACGCTATTTCAGCACCCATCACAAAAGAAAAACACTTTAAGGAAGCACTGTCAAATGGGTTATCCTGTCACGTTATATAACTACTACAACATATAACACTATGTGATAAATGAGTATATCATGCAAGTAACACCATCCATCATAAATATTAGACACATTCAAAGGTATAACGTTTTAAACTCATATTGCTCTTTATCGAAACATTTTATTTGGAATACTTAAATTTTGTTTTAGGAAAAATATTCTTATACGTTCAATTATTCAGACATTTGACGCACCTGCATTAAATTAAAAAAGTATACATATTTTGAAACTATAATCCACAAGGAAATTGCATAGTAGAGAAAATAAAACAATTACTTTCAAAGTATGTTTATAGGTAGGTAATATTTAAAACTATCAAATTTCACATTTTGACATGAAGTTTAATGTCGAGGTATTTTATTTTTATTTTGAACCCATCAAAATTTAAATAATAGTTATCATTTACTTAGGTACATTTTGCATTAATGCAATGACTGGCATTTTTTAAAGTAATTTGCATGTAAATTTTAAGTGACTAAACCATTGTCTTAACTGCGATACGACATGCCCATATCCAGAATGCAGGACTGACAAATAGTAGGGTAAGTACCTTCTTGTAAATATATGTAGTTATTTAATTAAGGTTTTATAGTATCAAAATTAATAGCGCAAATAGCTGCAAGTACACAATACTAAAAGCAAAAAAGTCTTAGTAAACATGGGTCCGCAAACGCACCGTTTTTGAGACATAGGGTGTAAAAGACGATTTTTTTTTTTTTGAGTTTTTTGACGATATATCAGGAACCGTTTGAGATAGAGAATTCAAATTTTGTACACGTATTATCATTAACATTAGGTACTTTTGAGCGCTAATTCAATTTTTATTCATATGACATGGCGGATATTTTAGGATTGCGTGAGGTTCTCTTGACCCTAATTTTTACAACTCTGGGAAAATTGACATTCCGACAATGTTTTCTACACAAAAAGGTACTCATCATTAAAAGCTCGAAGGCGAAACGTTTTCAAGATAAATGGTGTTTTATGATGGAAAACATGATAGAAAGTGGCAACATGAAAAAAAAAATGTATTTAAAAAATAAGCAAATAAACAACAAAAACAGTTGTTGTTGAAAATGGCCTCCTCCTACGGTAATGCAGGCTTCCAACCTACGTCTGAATGACTGACATTCATACATATTGGAAGGCTGCACTACCGTAGGAGGCCACAGAAAAAAGGTTGATACATAAATTATAGGAAATGTTCTCTAGATTAATTTATTACATAACTATTTTCACCGCAAAGTGAGTCGGAAAGGAAATATCGTCGAAAAACTGTTTTGGAGCGCCATTTTTCCAATATGGCGGCTACTTCCGGNAGAATGCAGGACTGACAAATAGTAGGGTAAGTACCTTCTTGTAAATATATGTAGTTATTTAATTAAGGTTTTATAGTATCAAAATTAATAGCGCAAATAGCTGCAAGTACACAATACTAAAAGCAAAAAAGTCTTAGTAAACATGGGTCCGCAAACGCACCGTTTTTGAGACATAGGGTGTAAAAGAGGATTTTTTTTTGAGTTTGTTGACGATATATCAGGAATCGTTTGAGATAGAGAATTCAAATTTTGTACACGTATTATCATTAACATTAGGTACTTTTGAGCGCTAATTCAATTTTTATTCATATGACATGGCGGATATTTTAGGATTGCGTGAGGTTCTCTTGACCCTAATTTTTACAACTCTGGGAAAATTGACATTCCGACAATGTTTTCTACACAAAAAGGTACTCATCATCAAAAGCTCGAAGGCGAAACGTTTTCAAGATAAATGGTGTTTTATGATGGAAAACATGATAGAAAGTGGCAACATGAAAAAAAAAATGTTTTTAAAAAATAAGCAAATAAACAACAAAAACAGTTGTTGTTGAAAATGGCCTCCTCCTACGGTAATGCAGGCTTCCAACCTACGTCTGAATGACTGACATTCATACATATTGGAAGGCTGCACTACCGTAGGAGGCCATTTTCAACAACTGTTGTGATTTTTTTTCTTATTTGCTTAGTTTTAAAATATTTATTTTATCATGTCATATTTATTACTTTTCTATTTTATTATTTATCACGTTTCACCTTTTTTGTGTAGAAAACATTGGCGGTTTAAGACATGCCAATTTTTCCAAAGTTGTAAAAAAATTGAATTAGCGCTCAAAAGTTACTATAGTCCAATCAGCTGGAAGTTTTGCCTGTGAAGTTTTAGGGGAGTTTTGAAAATTGGTATATTTATAGATTTTGACGTGCTTTTTCCGAGTTTTTACTTTGCCACCTCTTTTTTTTCCTGAAGTAGCCGCCATATTGGAAAAATTGCGCTCCAAAACAGTTTTTCAACGATATTTCCTTTCCTACTCACTTTACGGTGAAAATAGTTATATAATAAATTAACCTAGAGAGCATTTCCTATAATTTATGTATCAACCATTTTTCTGTGAAATTAATAGTTTCAACGTACGAGCGCCGCAAATTCTACTCCAACACGCGTATTGGCCAACAAACTCATATCCACACCACCATGAGGTAGAGTTCCTGACACGTTTTTTTTAGTGGTATCCCCAGAAGGCCTAATCTACATCTGATGCACTGTTGAATAAATTTAGTGCCATTCTTCTTCGTTTCGCTATCCCTGATGGACCAGGCTTTACGAGTTCTGAGCAAAACCACACGGATAGGAAGTTCTTCCAAGTTATCCGCGATAGGGTTCTCTTCTTCGACTTCATCACCTTCTTCCTCGATTTCGTCGAAGGTTTGCTGAAGAACTATCTCCGTATCTTCCTCTTCATCACTGTCTTGTAGATCAACATCCAAATTATGGCAGGTACCATTGCAATTCGCGCAGATAACGGAGCACCAGCCTTTCTGCACCTACAGGCTCCCCGACATCCTTTTTTACATTTGAAAGAAATTAGTTTTAGTAAGTTTGCTGGAGCTGGGGGCTCGAATGTGGTGAGAAATTAGTCCACTTTTGTTTTTTTTCCATCCCCATCGCTCTACATTTTTTCCAACTCCATACCACTGCTGAACCTGGTAATAAGTTAGGAACGAATGTTGTCGTGCTGCTGCTTCTGTCGGTGGCAGCGATGCAATATTAAATTTATTTTTAAATGCTGATTTCATGAAGCATGTATATCTGTAGGTGTACTTTTACGCCACTGTAAGGAGGAAGCGTTCTCCAGCTTCAGCAATGCTTTCCGGGTTAGCATTTGGATTTTTAAATACCCGGATGAGCTCGCTTATATCTCGGTTCTTTCGGAGTACATTGGCACATTTTATTTCGATCTACATCTTCGACGATAACTATAATGGAATCAAATGTAGATGAAATGCTGATTGCCATATTGAGGCCGTAGTAGACCGGGTTTTCAACGCGTAGTAAAATATTTTTCGTTGATATACGAAATACGCGTGTTGGAGTAGACTTTGCGGCGCCCGTACGCCGAAACTATTCATTTTACAGAAAAAAGGTTGATACATAAATTATAGGAAATGTTCTCTAGATTAATTTATTACATAACTATTTTCAATCGCAAAGTGAGTCGGAAAGGAAATATCGTCGAAAAACTGTTTTGGAGCGCCATTTTTCCAATATGGCGGCTACTTCCGGAAAAAAAGAGGTGGCAAAGTAAAAATTCGGAAAGAGCACGTCAAAATCTATAGATATACTAATTTTCAAAACTCCCCTAAAACTTCACAGGCAACCCCCTTTTTCAGCGCCAAATGATTGGACAACTAATGGTGATGATAATACGTGTACGAAATTTGAGTTCTATATCTCAAACGGTTTCTGATCGCCAAAAACTGAAAAGCTTTTTTTTTTGAGACACTAAGTATATCTCGAAAACGGTGCATTTACGGACCTGACTATGACTTTTTGCATCTAGTATCGTGTATTTACAGCTGCTTCAATTTGCGCTATTAATTATGATATATCCTGTATATTTAAATATATGAGCAAATGACCTATACTTGACCTTATACCTATTTATTTATTGTCATATTTACAAAATAAAATTTCAAATCGGTAATAAATTCTGAAATTGGTAGTCTTAGTAATAAATTTGCGAAAAATAAAATTTGTACTAATGTTCATATGTATTAGATTTTATCGGTGTGTTTGAAATTTGTTGTTTTTTTTAATTAAAGTTAGGTGTTGTATTGTCTCTGCTAAATCGTAGTGTCTTTATAAAGAGACGTAATTTAACTGATTATGAGTAACTGAAAGTGATTTTTTGCGTCTGTTTATAAACTACATTATTTTACAACGTTTTACATCAAATCCTGACGAAATTTAACTTTATTGTTACTATTTGTTAGTTATAACAAGAGGAATCAGCCTAAAAGTTTCGTCGCAACATCACTGTTACACCCCGTAAATTAAAATGCACTATTCAGTATGCTGCACATAATCCCAAATGCGTTGACGACGTAGATAAAATAAGAATGAGAAATGAGTTCCTTAAATATTCAACCCTTTTTCAAGACTCAAGTGTGCGCAACGGAGGGAAAGCCTCTATTGACAAGGAAACATAATATAAGTTCTTGACCTCATAACCCACACTGATTTATTATGCGCGCTTCTATCTTTCTCAAAGTTGCGGTTTGTAATACAAAAGACCTTTTATGGAGAAACTGTACGCAGGAGTTTTCAATTTTTAATAGAATGCTTTCATTTTTTATGTTGAAATATTTTTTCCAATCTTCCTAAATTTAATCGATTTTACCATGACAGATTTTTATTCTGAAATATGTAGTTTCAATACCCTTTATGGAGAAATTTTCCGCATGAATGTCTTTCAATTTTGAATTCAATGTTTTCGTTATTTACATCCAGTGTGTCCCGAGATGGAGTACCGCACTCTTGTAAACTTTTTTATTGTTGACTTTTCGAGAAAAAGTTATTCTTGACAAAAAGTTTTGCTTATCGTGGAAAGCCATGGGCAGTAATCAAATATGTAATACAATATACAGGTCACTAAAAAAAATTTAAAATGTGAAATTTTCCATAAGTAAAGTGCCTTTAATTTTAGTTTTCGTTAAAAACTGTATTTAACAAAGTTGTTCGAGAACTAAAGAAATGCTTAAATACGGAGTTTAGTCCGAAAAGAACAATTACATTTGCAAATAAAAAGACGCCGCAATTTTTAACTATCTGGCATATCATATGCATAATTATCATGAATATTCAATCAATCAATCAGTCAATGTTCAGATCAAAATATTTATTTTTATTAATTGCCCACAGAATATTTTTTATTAATAATGCTAACCCTGGAGCAACGAATTTATATAATGTGAAATGTTCTGGAATTCATAATTTCTAAGATAATTTGTTTAGACTAAATTTTCCTAATTTTTTAAGAAAACGTAAATTTTTAAGAAAATATAGAATTATTTTTCATGCTTACTGCATATTAAAATGAAACCTAAAAATAAAAAATCTCTCTTTTTTAAATGTTCGTAAAAACTCAATGCTCTTACTGAATTTTCAAAAATCTGAGTGGTGTCAAAATTCTGAGGGAAGTAGTATACAAATTATCATACTTATTTACATTCCAATTTAGTTATTTTACTATACTATGGATTTAGACCATAGGTTTTTAAAGCTTTTTCAGCTAAAATAATCCGAAACGGATTTTTAAGATCTCATATATTTGATAGATCAAGGATTTGTTCAGTAACTTTCAATGGAGCATAAAAATTGGCGTCAGCTGCTGCTCCTACAAATGTTCGACTCATGCTTTAATGCGGACAACCTACAAAGTCTTTAAACTCGCAGCAGTTTTAAAAATCTATGTGCCCTTTATTTGCGACCGAGAAACTTCCAGAATTACTTTTTATTCCTCCTTAATATGAATTAAAAGTTTCTTTGTGAAAGTTTCTTAATTCTTTAGTGATAAAAGATGAATATCACAGGCCAAAAAATGAAATATATAAGGCAATATAAAGCGTTTAAAGCAATTTTATAATAAATATCTTTTTGATTAGTAAAAATATTCATTTTATACTTTCTGTTAAAAAATTATTTACGTTGAAAAGAATCTGTCGATAACGAAGGATTTTGACAATAAGGATTAGAAAATAAAATATCAACTTACAAAACTGCAGAGTTTTTTCCTTAAGTTACTCGCCTAACTCAAACATTTTGTGTTCGTAATAAAGTTGAAGCAACACAACGTTTGCATAATACATATTGCAATATGTTTCGCTTTTCCTTTACATGACCTTCTTATTAGTATTTCCATTGCATTTATTTCTTTTTTTTTCAGCTTCTTAATAAAAGAATAATAAATGATAAAAAGTGAAAAATATATCGTAAATAGTGGAATAAATATAACTTTTTATTACAAAATATATTTAAGTCTAATCAAAAGATTATACTAGATCTGTGTATTTGTAGGCTGATAATACTTAAAAAATGGTCAGTAAATAAATTAAGCGAAACTAGAATCAATTTAGCAGATATTAAGACGAACAAAAATATACATATATTTCATTCAAGGTGACGGTATGCCCATAAAACGCAAATAAACATATTGCCCGTTCAAGATATTTTTTCTGTTCATATGTTGTTGTTATGACGGTAACTCGTATCATTCATCTTGCGGCCTATGTACATGAATGTGTCCTTATGAAATGTGAAGGCAGGCACTGCCTCGATGGAGTCTCCCTAATATCCTGAGGTGGCAAGAATGCTACCCCAGATATTTGTGCCTTTTCACCATTGAACAGATACAATCAGAGAAGGTGTAAGGAATCCTCTTCTTCCTGTCCGGATAATCCGCACATAACATGCTGTTCCACCCAACTCTACTGAGGTAGTCGTTGATATCCGTAACCTAAAAGTCCTACAACAATCCTATTGCTACTTTTATTTCGCTATTAGCTATATGTCGCGAAAATAACTTCTGTCGTGGCATATTTAATAAAAACGATTGTCAAATTTTTCAAATTTATCAAATATGCATCTAAATTGCGTGCATGTAACAGTGATTCTAAGGCCACTAATTGAGAATCTACTATTAAGTTTAGAAATTCCAGAATATCGCATATTACCACTTTGCCGCAGCGAATATTTTGGCTAAAATTTAAAGTATCGGGGTTTGGGGTCTCTGAACCCTGATTTAACGTCGAAATTTCAAAATTCAAAATGACGGATCCAATATAGCGGACACAAATAATTGTTAACTCATTATGTAGCTATAGCAAGATTTCGAGTAAATTGGGGTTTTTCAGAACTGTGATTTATTTTTGTATTTCAAAGTAATTTCAAAGGTCAAATAGGCGGAACTAAAACGATGGGCAAGCACACTTTCTAGCCTATTTTCGGGGTTTTCAAATATAGATACCTCTCAACTTACAGCGATATCTGCAAGTACAAAAATTAAACTAAAGCATTTCAGTACTGTCCGACTGCGCTACTCATTATGTCAATGCGGTATACATCATGCAGCAAAAGGTCATACCTGAAATTCTTAAAGTTTGTAAAAAAAGGCTATAGATATACAGGGTGTCCCGAAATTAGGGGGCAATATTTCTACAGGGTGTTCTATGTCGAAAAAGATTACTTTTACTGAGGTGGTGTCCTATCTTGTTAGTAGTGTAATGTTAAGCGTACGTTTAACGGTGTATCCTCCAATAGTTTTCTTACATCATTTTGCAGAAAGTTTAAGTATCCTTCTGCATTCAGACAAACGGGACTGAATTGGTCCAAGTAGCTAGTTTCGTAGTTATTTAGAAAAAAACATCAACAGAGTGGTCCCTTTAAGTGTCTATAACTTCCTTAGGAAGAATTTTTGGACCCACGTTTATATAAAGAAAAAGTAATCTTTTTCGACATAAAACACCCTGTAGAAATATTGCCCCCT